AGGGTGACGACTTCGGACCAATCAGCGGGTGCCACGCAAGGCTGCGGTCCAATCAGAAGACGCCACGTGGAGGCTACATGCGAAGGATGACGTGGCAAAAACGTGATTATGCGAATTTTCTCGATTTTTGTGCAAAAACTTCTAAAATCCATAACTTTCGCATACGAGCTCCGTTTTTACGTTCTTTATATGCACGCGTAGGTAAAATTACGCTCTACAACTTCCATTTAGACTTCGTCGGCTAATTTTGACTTTAATTTTTATATTATTATTTTTAACAGACCGGGACAGGAAATCCGTTAAAAATTCATAACTTCTTCATCCGACGTCTGTTTTTGTCAGACTTTTTACCGTTGTGCTACTATTTACGAGACCTTCGATTCTCGTTTAGGTTGTGTCGGCTAAAAATCACTCGATCTAAAATTCGAGTTTTTAGCTGTCTACTGCTAAACTGAAACTTCGAAAAATCATAACTTCCTCATACGAAGTCAGATTTGGGCATTCTTTTTATCGAACTTCTCGGTTTAACGAATACTACGAGTTTCGTTTAGATCACTAAAGCTAAAAAGTAGTTTATCAAAAACTCACTTTTTACGACATTCGGCCCCGTGCCGGTTTGTCGCGAAACTTCGACAGGTCATAACTTCTTCGTTATAACTCGGATTTCGGCATTCTTTATATATCTGTAATCCTTGTCACGCCCACTACAAGTTTCTTAATAGATATCGGCTTAATCTAAAATTTAATTTTTGACGCTCATTTTTATTCTTAATTAATTAAACCCTAATAATTAAGCATAAAACACATAATTCACATAATATTCACATAATTGCTTTTCATTTCTTCTAAATGAGTTACAAAGGTTAACCTAGACCATTATGTCAATATTAATGTCTAGCCTAGAAACACGGGCGTTACAACTCTCTCCCCCTTAGAATGATTCCGTCCCCAGAATCATATATCAGCAAACAAATACGGGTAGCGACTCATCATGTCACTCTCCGTTTCCCAGGTGAGATTTGGCCCATTCGTATGTTTCTAACACATAAGCACTAATTCGACCATTTTACGTCACAACTTCCTAGTCTTACGGTCAACGATTGTCTCAGGTTCTTTAACCAACCTCTTGTTTTCATCCAACCTTAATTCAGAAATGGGAATTATGTCGGGCACATCTCCCGTAAATTTTGTCAAATAACTCACATAAAAGGTATTATGAATACCCTCCAGTTCTTCCGGTAATTCTAGCTCGTAAGCTTGATTCCCGATCCTCTGAAGAACTTTAAATGGTCCAATAAACCTTGGACTCAACTTTCCCCTTCTACCAAATCCTATAAGTCCCTTCCACGGCGAGACTTTAAGTAAAACCGAATCTCCAACTTTGAATGATATCAATTATCTTTTCTTGTCAGCATAGCTCTCTTGAGCAGCTAACATCCTTTCCCTAATCACTTTCAACTTTTCAGCAGTCCGATGGACTATTTCAAGTCCCATAAACTGCTTTTCCCAGCTTCCAGTCAACATGACAACATTCGACACTTTTCCCCATATAAAGCGTGATAAGGTGCCATCTTGATGCTTGAGTGGAAACTATTACTATAGGAAAATTCTACTAGAGGTAAGTGTTTACCCCAGTTACCTTGGAATTCCAGGGTACATGCTCTCAGCATATCCTCCAATGTTTGAATTGTTTGTTCGCTCTGACCATCGGTTTGTGGATGGTAAGCTGTATTCAAACACGACTTGGTACCCAATTCCGCTTATAGACTCCTCCAAAACCTTGAGGTAAAACGGCTGTCACGATCGGATACGATCGTTAACGAAACACCGTGAAGCCTCACACTTTCCTCCACATAAGAATTCGCAAGTTTATCCATAGACCATTTCTCGTTGGCTGCTATGAAATACGCACTCTTAGTGAAGCGATCAACGACCACCCAAATCATGTCGTGACCGTTCCTTGTTCTGGGCAGTTTAGTCACAAAATCCATAGTGATACCTTCCCATTTACCCATGGGTACAGGTAAAGGATCTAAACTCCCATATGGTTTATGATGTTGTGCCTTAACCCTAGCACAAGTTACACACTCAGCCACATACTTAGCAACATCGAGCTTCACCATCGGCCACCAGTAATAGGGTTTTAGATCCCTATAAATTTTCGCACTGCCGGGATGAATCGAGTACATGGTTTTGTGAGCTTCTTCCATCAGAAGACCTCTTACTCCTCCCATCTTTAAGGCGAATACTGTCACTACCAACTCCAGATCACGAGTGGGGTAGTTCTTTTCATGCTCCTTCAATCGCCTCAATGCATACGCTATCACTTTATCCCTTTGGGTCAGAACACAACCTAACCCAACTTCTTTAACAATGAACGCGATACTTCTATTGATCACTTTGATCAGCTTTTACTTCAATTCGGCTTAAGTCAACTGCTACATCGAACTTGGTTCTCTGAACCACATAACAAACTCATCGTAGTCGGACTCAATTCGATATGACCACTAGGGTCGGAATAACAATCATCTTCTTAGTCATTACCGAAACGATGGTAACGACAGATGTCACAACTAGGAATTTCTGATACGTTGTAAACACTTAACAAAGAATGACGTTGTAGCTAAAACTTGAAAACATGTATGGTGCTTATTCAATGACCACAAATTCCATCAAATACCCTATACCAACTTTCAAATAGTCAACAAAAGTTGGAAACCCTAAAAATCTCGGTTTAAGTCCTTTTTGGACTAGGATTTTTCTTATTGGGCCTAATGGACCAATAAGCTTCCAATTTGACTTTTTGGGCTTAGAAATCTTAAATGGACCCTAATTGGACCCATTTGCATGAAACTTAATATTTTGGGCCTTATAAGCCTAAAATGAACTAGGTTATCTTCAATGGGCCTTATTGGGCCATAACAAATCTAAATAGCCCTAATGGGCCATAAAACTCATACTTGAAGAATATTGGGCCGTGAATTACTCTAAAAGGGCCAATGGGCCGAAAACCATCAAATTGGGCCCATAATATGGACTTAAGCACAAAAGGCCCAAATTCTCTTCTCTCTTCTCTAATTCTCGGCCCAAGTGCTAAACAAAAAAAAATGAAAAATCAAAGAGATAAGGAGGGTAAGCCACCTCCTTATTACATAATGGGCATCCATGTAATAACTTCCATACTTCCATGCACCATTCTCATTTTTCCATGCATCCATCACATCCTTATCTCTCTCTTCCCTCTTCTTCTCCATGTCTACGGACGAGAACCCATCACACACACCCACACTCTTCCAAATTCTCTCAAACACTCACAAGAACACTCTTACATCTTCTCTCAAATTTTCGAGAATTTGAACATCTTCAAGAAGAGTTTCATCATCAAAAATCATCAATTCTTGGTAAGTCCTACCACACTTAAGTTGTATAACTTCATCTTCATGTTAGATCACTCATTCTAAGTAAGTTTTTGGTGATCATACTCCTAGAAACCTACTAAGTTCGAGATCCATCCAAGAAAGCTTGCTAGGGCCGAAAATAGCATCAAACTCTTTCACTTTTTCTTCAAAACCGAGATCCACAAGAAAAGGTGAGTTCATACCCCTCTATTTTCGATTTTCACAAGTTTTATGGGGGAGAATACAAGTAAAATGTGTAGATCTATGTGTATGTGTATGTTATGTGTGATTTCATGTATGTGAAATTTACGTAGTTTTAAGAGTTCAAACTTGTGAGTTTAGTGATTAAATCCTTGAATGTTTCTCATCAAAGAAAATTCATTTGATTTAAGGGGGTTGATAAATACTTTGTTATCACATCGCAAAAACGATTTAGTATGATTACACCTTAGAAATACACTGTTATTTCGTTTAGTGTTTTGTAATTGTTCGGTTTTTGTTCTCGCTTGAATAAAAAGATCCCATGTTCTCGTATCAACGCAAATGATCACATCAATAATGAGTGAACCATATAGATGTTTATTTTGTGTGGTTAGTATGCATATTCGGTTTATTGTTTACAATGCTTTTAAAACATTTGTCATTGGTATTTTGGTTGACTATTATTTCCATCCTACTCTCGTACCTCATAATCGTTGTTGACATGCTCACATCAAAACCGTGAATGTTTTTTTTGTGGTATTATATCCCAATATTTGTATGTTATGGGTGGCTTATGCCATTTTGCCCGCCTCTTGTTTTAATTTTATTGGGTGTAATCGAATGTTCTAGGTTGCTTTTGTCATTTTAGATCACTTTTAGTTTTGCGTTTTTTCGGTGCCATAGTTATATCTGTAATATTGTCATTTTACCAATATAATTTATTGGGGGTACTATGCTCTTATAAAAATTATTATGTTTAACTTTTTTTTTTTAAATAAACGTTGATAAATATAAGTAAAACTATCAAGATAAACTGAAAATTATATTATACCTACATATGATATAAAAAAAACTCTTATAAGCATGCATTATACTTTTATAAATATTTGTATAGAATACTAATTTATACAAAAACATACTCAATTAGGAATTTTTAGGAACTAAACCTTTTATTTTATATCAATGGCCGAAAGGAAAGCAATGACATTATTTTTTTTCTCAACACACTCCAAGAATCAAGCCCTCCCTTCCCTCATCCTATTATCAGAGATTAATGGGCCACACAATATGTTTGGTGAAATGTCTTAATGAATATGCTAATATTAGTTCGTTAGTTACTAATCTTAATTCCTATTTGAATATCTTTCTATATAATCGAATCGCCATATATATCCCATTATCTATTATCCTATTTACTCTACTTTTTCATTACTGCTATTCAACCAAATAAAACCATTTATTATTTTTAAAATAGTTGTTCAATTACCAACAAACAATAATCTATTGTTTTTTGGAAATAAACGCGTTTGTTTGTTTGTTTGCAATTATCCTAGAAAAAAGAAAAAGAAAAACACCAAAAATAATTTAGATTATGCGCCCTACCGACACTCTGGCTACGATGTTTAGAGGTCGACGGCTCGTGACCAGGGAGGGGTTAACATACATTCCACTTTCTCATCACTTCCTTTAAATTGCGAACACTACACAGATTTTCAAGGGTCTTCTCTTTTTCCATACACACTCTCCTCTCAAACAAAGATTTAGATCGAGATCGAGATCGATAACCATGGAGCTATTCTACTTGATAGTGTTTGGGGCCTTAGGAGTTGTCGTTGCAACAATGGAGCTCAGCAAGAGCAACAAAGATCGAATCAACACTCCTTCTGCTTTCAATTCCTTCAAGAACAATTACCTCCTCGTCTACTCCCTTATGATGGGTACCTTTCTACTTCCCTTATCATTACATCTCGTCCACATTATCATTTTCTGTATATGTTCGTTACCAATTGTTCATGATTTGAGTTGACTCTTGTAATTCGGCATTTATCGGAATGAATTAGATCTGGATTATCCAGATTTGCATTAAATGCTGCTAAATTTTACAACCCTTTTGGATCTGGGCTAGTATATGACTATGTTCTAATAGCTTTGAGTTAGATCGGGATAGTCTAGATCCTTTACAATTCACTGGTTACTTTGATGATTGTGTTGTGACTTGTGACTAAGTTCTTTCTTTCATGGTGGTTGTAGCTGGTGATTGGTTGCAGGGGCCGTATGTCTACTACCTTTACACCACTTACGGTTTCGGGAAAGGAGATATCGGGCAGCTCTTCATTGCTGGTTTCGGATCTTCCATGCTCTTTGGGACAATCGTTGGATCCTTAGCTGACAAACAGTAATTTCCAAATTTCAGTCAATCTTTTCAACTTTAAACAATTATCCTCCTCAATTTAACTTGATTCAACTCGTTTCTGCCAAATTCAGTGGTCGAAAAAGAGCTTCAATTACTTACTGCATAACCTACATTCTGAGTTGCATCACCAAGCATTCACCTCAGTACAGAATTCTAATGGTGGGGCGTATATTGGGTGGGATTGCCACATCTCTCCTCTTTTCAGCCTTCGAATCATGGCTTGTTGCTGAACACAACAAGGTGAGATATAATATTACATTACTAAATATACCCTTTATATTGTGTATGGTTCTAATGCTCTTGTTCTGATGCATCTGTAGAGAGGTTTTGAGCAACAATGGCTATCAATTACATTCTCCAAGGCAATATTTCTTGGGAATGGACTAGTTGCCATTTTAGCTGGTTTATTTGGAAATCTTTTAGTTGGTTCATTGGCCATGGGACCTGTTGCTCCATTTGATGCAGCTTCAATCTTTCTTGCCATTGGAATGGCCATCATCATATCATCATGGACTGAAAATTATGGTGATTCATCAGAAAGCAAAGATCTAATGACCCAATTCAGGGGTGCTGCTGTTGCAATTGCATCAGGTCTCTCTCTCTCTCTCATACATATACAGGAGAAGCATGAAGAATCCAAAGTGGCAATCTTGTAATTATGCATACATATCATTCTGCCTTCTAAATTTGGACCTAATAGTTTTTTTTTTTTTTTTTTTTTTTTTTTTTTTTTTTTTTTGTGTAAAAACAGATGAAAAGATAGCATTATTGGGTGCGATACAATCTTTATTCGAGGGTTCAATGTACACTTTTGTGTTCTTATGGACACCTGCTTTAAGCCCAAATGGTGAAGACATTCCACATGGTTTCATTTTTGCTACTTTCATGTTATCTTCCATGTTAGGAAGCTCTTTAGCTTCTCGTTTATTAGCACGTGCATCAATCAAAGTTGAAAGCTACATGCAAATTGTCTTCATCATCTCTTCAGCCTCTCTCTTGCTTCCAGTCATCACAAGTGTAAGCCAAACTTTCTAATCTCATTTTTAAGGGTTCATGTCATCAATGGGTAAAACATACTGTTTGAAATGTTAAAAAAACACTATTGTACTAAACAAGTAATATCATAAAAGGTAAGCAACTAGAACATTTTGTTACCCATTAATGACATAAAGCTTTTCTTTTTTGAATTAATGTATGCAAATAATCAGAAGAATGAGTTGTTTTTTTTTTTTTTTTTTTACAGTCTTTGGTGGCTCCTTCGAAAGAGAAAGGTGGAAGTATAAAATTTGCAGGGTGTATTCAGTTGATTGGATTCTGTGTGTTTGAAGCTTGTGTTGGTTTATTTTGGCCATCTATTATGAAAATGAGGTCTCAATATATTCCTGAAGAAGCAAGAAGTACAATTATGAACTTTTTCAGGATTCCACTTAATATCTTTGTATGCATTGTACTTTATAATGTGAGTCCCTCTCTCTCTCTCTCTCTCAATATATGATATATATCTATCTGTGCTTACATTTATACATTTGACCATTCATTGACTTTTTTTAATCTTTTTATGAAGGTTGATGCATTCCCAATTACTGTAATGTTTGGAATGTGTTCCTTTTTCCTTTTCATTGCATCTATGTTGCAAAGGCGGCTTTTGGGGGTTGCAGAGAGATCAAGTAAGTTTTTTATTATCTTGAGTAAATTACAAATTTGGTCCCTATGTTTTACTCAAAATCCCAAGTTTGGTCCATGTGCTTTACAAATCGACAATGAATGGAAATCTTAACTTTGGGAAGATTTCAAAATTTGGAGCAAACATGCCATTTTGAGTAAAGCACAAGGACCAAATTTGTAATTTACTCTAGATTCTTTTTGGGATGAACAAATGTTTTCTTTTTTGAGTGAATAGTTGATTTTGTATGTTTTGATTTAGGGCAAGATAAGGGGAGGGAATTGGAGGCGGAACCACTCAATATCTAATTACCCAAGATTAAGAAATGTATTGGGATTTTATATTTTATAGATCAATTTTTGTTAAAAGTCGTGTGTTAAATTTAAAAACATATTGGCATCTATGCATCGAGGAGCCATAGTTGGTGATGAAGAACACAAAGAGAAAGAATTAAAAGTTGATTGAGAATAAGGAAGTCGGTATACCATTAATATATAGTGTATTATTAAGTTTTTGTAATCTGATAGAACGATTTGACAACGGTTATTTCTAACCTAAGTTGTTTCAACATTTTGTAATGCTGTTTTTTTGTATGTATCAACATTAAAGATGTTCATTAAGAAAGAGCAGTACTTGTTTGATATGCATTTCTAGTAGCTTACTTCACAACTTATGGTATGTATGTGTGTGCTAATCTTATACAGTGATAAGTTGGGCTAAATGCTAGAAATAACAACATAATTTGTTTATATGTATATTGTAGCATCGTACGATCAAATGTTTTTATTACACCATTGTACTTTCAAACATTATCATGTTTGTGCGACATCATTGTCTTTTTGAAACCGAAGGGAAATTTGTATAGGATGACAGTTAGGTGAACCATGATGTATGACTCTGAAAGTTGGTCAATAAAGAATGTGTATGAGGAAGATGGTAGTTACATAAATGAGGAGGTACTGGTAAGCCCACGGTAGAACAATATTGAATATAATATTGAGTGTGTTATTAAGAACTACTTTGGGAGACTAGGAGTGACGTCGACCACCGAAACATCGAGGGAAGGAAGATTTTGGTGGTTTGTGGTGAATAATATCATAAAATGTTCATGGCCCTCATGTGAACAGACAATCAATGATTGTTATGAAACTAATATGATAGATACGATAGTCAACAAAGAATTATCAAGTGATAGTATTTGAATAAATAAACAATCAACCGAAATAGATAATGATAATACTAATACTAACCACATGACATATGTACATCCACATGAGAAGAAAATATCATTTATTCCAACAAGTACCAAAGCCAACAGATTACAAAACACAAACTTAGATTATCAATGAGTTGATAGGGTGTAAAACCTGCTCAGTTGCTCACTCAACGTGATTACAATGTGTTTCCTGAACACTCTAAATCAAAGGAGTATGATTTGATGAAAACACTAAAAAAAAAACTAGTTACAAAAAGCTTAACAATTTGGAACTCTATTAAGTCTTCTAAAAGTTGCTCGCATAGTCGCATGTGTATCAACTTTAGGAGTTGCCTCAAATTTATTCGGAAAATAGTTATGCATATTGAATGTGTATCACCTTCTAAAAGTTGTGAATATCACATATCTATCACCTTTACGAGTAGCCTCAAATTTTTACGAGTAGCCTTAAATTTTTTAGGAAAAACCATATTGTGACTTTCTATAAAAATTAGGCCCTCGGTAAAGCCCAAAACACTCAACAAAAAATTGACGGACCAATCTAATAATTTTTGACGTAGCTCCAACATAGTGACCAAATGCTTGGAGATAGACGATCTTCCGATTGATTTCATCATCTAGTTGGAGTCGAATGTTGATCTGCCCCATAAGAGCAACGAAAACTATCAAATGTCAACATTTCACCTTGATTGAGTTCATCCTACAAAATTGAGTTCTACAAAGTTTTGATCCTTAACAAAATTGAGTTTGGATCTAAACCATAATGCTTCCAAACAAGAAAGAGCCAAAATGACATTTATGAAAATGAGCTTTGGTATGTGTTGGAGCAGGAAATGCTCTACAATGCTGAGTGATTTATTATGTTAGAATATTCTCTTGTATGAAATCATATTCCATCCACTAATATATAAAGTGGAGGTGTGTGGTCATTTGTATGAGTGCACCATGTAGAATTTAGATTAAAGAGTTGACTGGGGAATTCTCCCTAGCCATGAGTGTTCTTCATTGTAATATTTTGTATCTCTCTATCTATATATTTCAGTTTACTCACTTGTTCGTGTTCATCATTGTTCATACACGAGTGTTCATCATTGTTCGGAAGAAACAAAAACGAACCATTGGGACATTTCCTGATGAGAAGGATATTATCAATATTTCCGACGAAGATCTTTTCTCAGAAGCAGAAAGATTCTGGACTTAATCTGGTGATGTTCCCAAGTCTTTAGATAATCCACCCGATGGTGCTGCTAAAAAGTCGAGTGTAGATGTCCTGAGACCACCACTCTCTTAGATGATCCTCCTCGGACAAATGATGATAAAAGTGATGTTGCCGAGTCAAATCCTATTTTGGATTATCCTCCTCACGATGTAACCAAGCCAGAAGCAGATGTTCTTAAACCAATCAAGGTTTCAGAGGATCCTCCAAATGAAGTCAACTTTGATGAAGAAGACAAAGCTAATATTGAGATGATTTTTGAAGAAGGTGATATGGTTATCACAAATGTTCAGAAGCCGATTGACTTGACCAAGTTCATGCAACATTCCTATTCTAAACCAAAGGTTGATTTCGATCTGCAATCCTCATCAGATTAAATGAAGCTTGGTGATGGTAATGGCGAGGGAAATGATGATACCGAAGATTTGGGCTGATGATGACAACAATGGTGATGGTGAAGACAAAATCAAATCTGATGAATCAGTTGAAGGATCAAGTTTGAACACGAGCTCCTCGGATAAACTTATTGCTGACCCTTTTGCATTACTTGAAACGAGAGACAAAATCGACAAGGTTGATGCAAAGGTAGTTTCGGTCAATGCTCATGTCGGATCACTTGATTCCAAACTGGATTTAGTTCTCAAATCCATTTCAGAAATCAAGTCTGCCACTCCCTCCCTTCAAGACCAAGAGCGACATTTAGATCAACTTATCTCCCTATGGCTCAAACATACCTTGGAAGAAGCCGACAAGCGATATGAAGAAAACCTTAAAATCACATCAAAACAGTAGACTGGATGCTGAATATTCATGACAACATGATATCTGCTACAAATGAATTAATCAAGCAGACTCATGTTCGTCATGAGAAACAAATTCAAGGGTTAGAAAGGGAGATCAAGGAGAAAGACAGAATGAACCTCATTCTACAACAAGTTCTAATCAAAGTAAGTCGGTATGCTCAACACTTCGTGGACATTCTGAATTACAAGTTCGATGAAGTTCTGCTAATATTTGAAGAAACTTTAGATGTTCTGAAGAAGCAAGCCCCCATTGCTGAAATTTATGACAATCTGACCAAGATTGTCAATGTCAGCTTTTAGAAAGTTCAAAAAGTTTGGGGAGTTGAAAGAGCAAGTTGAGATTGCACCAAAGGTTGGGACCTCTAGTGTAAGAGGGGGAGAAGAAGATGACAAAGGATTAGATTGGAACAACAAATTCCAGCTCCGCGATGAAACCTCAGACGAAGAAGCTCAAAATGGCGATGCATAAGTGGTCTCTACAAAACTACCTTTCATCGGAAAAGTCATTTCCGATGAAAAAAAAGAAGAAAAATGGCTATCTTGGCCATCAACTTTGTCCGTATCCGTCAACAAAAGCATCCTTGAAGCCAAAGCCAAAACTCAACTCAAGATTGACGTCTTTCGAGCCACTCAACCGAAGGAGATTCTGATTCCTCCTTCGATCATCTCTCCCATAGATGAAGGCACTCCTATGGAAACTGATGATGGATTGCATGCTCCCAAACTTGTTACACAAATCTCGAAAGTGATGGTGACCCATGTTGCACAACAAATAATAAATCAATCCACTTTAGGGGCTCCCATCAAAGACAATGGCAAATGAGTTGAAGTGGAGCATATTAGCCCAATGAAGCCATTGAACCAGACCAAGGGTTGGCCACAAGAATAGATTCATTAAGCCATCCAGGAAAGTCTTCTGATTCAATCTCTAAAAAAAATTTGAATCCTCTTAGGGACATCTCTCCTTATTTTCCAAAAGGTCGATTATATAAGTTTCATTATGTACCCTATGTGAGTTATGCTCTTCCAACCTCGGACTCGAACTAAGAACAACTCGACCTCCCTCTCTCACTACATGACAGACTTTACAAGAATTTTTTCAGCCTTCATCCATCAGATGCAATGGTCATTGATGTGTATTATTTATATCACTTAAAAGCTTTAAATTTATAACCCTAACCAATTTCACCAGTTAAAACACAATAAGCAGTGTACCCAGTCTCGTAGTAGTATAGTAGAGCAAGTAAGGGGTTGAACACATGGAACGAAATTTTAAACTAAAATTAAATGCTAATAACTAAGAAAGAACATTAAATTGGGGGGGGGGGGGGGGGGGTTCTTATCAGATTTTGCAAGTTCATACAAACTTAAATTAAAACACATCATTAATTACTAAAACAAAAGCAAAAAACTAGAAAACGATTTTAAATCAAGAATAAAAGATACTTCCGTTTAGCTTCAAATTCCCCCTTTTTCCTATGGTTAATTTCAAGACAACGGATTAATTATGTTGGTTACCAAATTAGAGATTATTAGTTATCTCGGTCTGATTAACTAACATATATCAATTTGTGAACTTTAAAATAAAGCATAAACAAATCGGTCTTTTCTGGCCATGAAATTGGGGATGTCACAAGTGCAAACACCAACTAACTAGTAGATATAACATTTTCTTCATAAGATTTTGTATGAAAAGGCTTCATCCCTATCTTATTAAATGTTTTATGGATTTAAAGCCTATGTTGGACTAAAGTTTTTAAATCCAAAATCTACTAAACACATATTTGTGCAATACTCTAAATGTGGCTTAGATTATTATATGCAAACCCACAAAGAATAAGTTTTCTTATTCTTGTGAAAGCTAAGTTAGTAGAAAGCAAGCTTCTAATGACAAAGCAAGTGGGAGGTACATGGAACTTGAAGTAGCTCAAGAACCATTACCTGATATGGTAATAGTTGGCACTAGTTTTTAACAAGGATTGTTAAACTTGAATAATAGCTATTCACAAACACAAATTGTTCGCATTAGTGGTAGAAATCATCTATGATTTGAGAAATGTTGAATCTCTCATTAGCGAGATTTTATTGATGGTTTCTATCAAATCCATCAAATACCAATATGTTGTGTCAGATCTTGAATCTAATTAATGACTTAGAGTCATGAACATGAGATGTAATCTATGTATGATAATCAAGTATACTCTTGATTGAACTTCCTCTCTATAGCAAGGCTAGAAGGAGTAAGTGGTTCTTCTAGAAAGAAAACATTACATGGATAACTATACACATTTAAAGCAAAACTTGTTATAAAAGGATTTTCTCATACTCATGTCATTGACTATGGTCCT